GTGCTAGCCAGGATGGTCTCGATCTCCTGACCTCGTGATCCGCCCGTCTCGGCCTCCCAAAGTGCTGGGATTACAGGCTTGAGCCACCGCGCCCGGCCCAAAATAAACTTCTAACTTGACTGAGATCTGTCTCAGATACTTTTTACAGTAAACAGGGTGGATTTCTATAATTCTGATGCTCAGCTGCCTGAACCTCGATTCAACAGATGTGTCCTTGTGTTGGAGACGAGAGTAGAAGTGGAATCTGCAGAAGCCTGAGTGGTCACAGGATCCCGCTCCATCCGTGATGCTGGACAAGGCTCGGTTGCAGCTCAGGTGGGACTCAGTGGGTCAGAGACATGCGCAGGTGTGTACAGGATTCACAGAGGTTGTGCACGATGACCCAAATCGCTGCACAGTGGAAAGGAGGTGATGTCCCAGAAACATATCACTGTCAGTGTCCCTGAGATAGTAGTGGACCAGCTCTGTGAGCCAACACGTCACACTCAACACAGACACAGGTACCGAGGGGTGGGCAATGATGTGCCCCAAATGCCTCATAGTCAAGGCCTCACAACCGCTCCCGCCCTCAGGAGGGAAAGCAGCACTCTGTTCTGGATCAGCTTCTGTTTTCCAGCAAATGAATGTCCTTTTAAAAATGGCATTTCCTTTTAAAAATATACATACACATGCACACATTCCTGCCACTCCCAGACTAAAAGCCCATTTTTTTTCTGTGTTTAAGCTCTGGACTTCCCAGCCTTGCCCTTCTAGCCCTGTGATGCTGTGACCCTGCCCTGCAAGCTCTTCTATGGTCCTCTGACTCCCCAGGGCCGTCCACCTGCTGTTCTCTCCACCTGGGGTGCTGTGCTCTACCGCCATGCCTCTGGGCTTCCCCGGCAGGTTTCTTCTCATCCCTTTCAATCGGAGTCAAATACCCGCTTCTTTAGATTCCTTGGCTCACTGGTTCTCAAGCTTGGGTATCAGAGCACCCTGGAAGGGCTCATTCATTAAAACAAGCAGTGCCAGGCTCTACTTCTAGATTTCAGCTGCAGCAGGTCTGTGGTTGGGTCTTAGAATTTGCATCTCTAACAAAGGCTCAATTGCTACTGCTGATGCTGGACCAAGGACTACACTTTGAGAAGTATAAGTCTGCTCTGGGCAAACTTAGAAGCCACCATTGATTTCTATTTCAGTTTACCCCAGTGTGATTAGTACACACAGCTCCTAAGACCCCTGGGATCTCTGGAATACGGAACTTTCAGTCCTCACTCCCTGACCTCACCAACATCCAGAGAGGGCAAAGTGGCTTGAGACCTGGCTAATCACTGATGGCTGATGATTTAATCAATCATTCTGATGTCATTCAACCTCTTTAATGATGGAGTTCAGAGAGATTGGTAGTTGGTAAACACATCCACATGG